ATAGGAAACAGATGTTTTGAAAATGTGGCACAGTTCAGGTATTTGGGAACAACGATAACAGATAGAAACCTGATTCAGGAGGAAATTAAGAGGTGATTGAACTCGGGTAATGCTTGCTATCATTCAGTCCAGAACCGTTTTGTCTTCCCGTCTCTTGTCCAAAAACATAAGAATTAGAATATACAAAACTATAATTTTGCCTGTGGTTCTGTATGGGTGTGAAACTTGGTCTCTGACATTAAGGGAGGAACATAGACTGAGGGTGTTTGAGAACAGGGTGTTGAGGAGAATATTTAGACCGAAGAGAGATGAAGTGACAGGAGGTTGGAGAAAACTGCATAATGAGGAGCTTCATAACTTGTACTCTTCTCCAGGTATAATTAGAATGATGAAGTCAAGGAGGATGAGGTGAGCAGGTCATGTAGCAAGAATGGGGGAGACGAGGAATGCGTATAGGATATTGGTGGGAAAGCCAGAAGGAAAGAGACTAAAGGGAAGACCAAGGCGCATGTGGGTGAACAATATTAGAATGGATCTTAGAGAGATAGGATGGGATGGTACGGATTGGATAAATCTGGCTCAGGATAGGGACCAGTGGAGGGCTCTTGTGAACACGGTAACGAACCTTCGGGTTCCATAAAATGCTGGGAAATTCTTGAGTAGCTGCAGAATTGGCGGCTCCTCCAGAAGGGCTCAGCTCCATGAGTAAGTACATAAGTAAGTATTTCAGTTTTTTTAACTCGTATACTTTTGTTGTGCATGCTTTATTGCTGTCTTCCCTTGTACTCAATTTTGGTTTTGTTGACTGCTTTTTAGCAAAGAATCGAATATAAAACCTTACGCCGAAAACACTGTTATGAGCAGGAGAAAAATAACCTCGACACGGCCAAGCCGTGTTGCTGGATTATTCGGTAGTAACAGGAGTGTGTAACATTGTGACGCAGGATAGCCGGCATAGTTCAGTCGGTATAGCGCCTCTGCTACGGGCTGGACGACCGAAGTTCGATCACCAAGGGAGGCAAGAGAATTTTCTCTTATCCAGAGCTTCGAGAGTGGCTCTGGTGCCCACTCAGCCTCATATCCAATGGGCACCAGGGACTGTAGAGTATAGCTAACCACTTACCTTCATGTAGTGCCGAGGTCAAGAATGGTGGAACTATACCTCCACTCCATTATACGTCTTCTTGGTGTGGTGCTTAACTAATTAAGCACAGGGCCATTTTTGCCTTTATCTACGGTCAAATCGTGATGGAGAATTATTTAGTAGTAACGAATGCTTGTAATATTGTGACGCAAGAAGGGGGCACGGATATTTCGGCCGTAAAGTGTATATCCGATTGATAGGCGTCAAATATGTTGGGTTTCTTACTGTATTTATTCCTTACACAAATGACTTTACACATAATTTCCGCTTTTAATTAACAACGTCGTTAACGGTCAGTACGTTAGTTGCTGATTTGATTCATTTGCAGTCCAACACTCATGCTCATGTCCGCTCGTGTCCTTACTTTCTATTCTGTTCCGCTAGACAGCTCTGCAAGCAACCTAACGGTAAACTGCGGCAAACTGTTACCACAAGGACTGTGCACAAAGTATGTCGGTGTAGAACAGCTGCCATTCTGGAATGGGAATCTAAATTCTGAATGCGCCAACAATGAAGTACGCCGTGGCGTCGGGATGCGCGTTTCTGCTGTTCGTGTGCATTTCACTTCCGGACTTCACAGAAGGTAACTCGGAATGGTATTTAAGGATATTCTTCCGTTTTTCACCCAGTGACATCAAACGATAGCTGTGGCACTGAAATTATTTCCGGACTAAAATTAAAATTGGAAGTGCAAAAGGTAACATTCTCTGAAATGAGCTAGAAAATTTTATGAGCTAAGTTCTTTGCTGTAGTAAGTAGATCACAGGCACTGGATGTCTGGAAGTTTTGTTCTTAACAAGCATTTGACACTTAATAATGACTTATATGTGGATTCATCTTAGAAACAAATGACATCACGCCTAATTACGTGATATAAAATGAAGAACATGTAGTGTCCTACATCGCTGATAATATTAATAATTTTATCAGAAGCGCGTATAGTTGAAGAGTAGACTTTCTGCGAACTTTTTAGTTCCTTCCTTTTCCCCCCCCCTTCACGAATGCAGATTTTATGTGACAGTTTTTCGTTAAACTCCTGATTAACCCTTTGAATCCTGAAGAGAGAAAGATGGTCGTGTTTTGCGGATTATTTTAAGAATCTGTCAGTATGTCAGATTATAATGAATCAGAAAAGATTTGGAAAGAATCTGCCGTAGCCTAGTAGAGGCACTATCCCGGTATTTGACTGGACAGCAAAACCACGCGAAACATTACGATAGCCGGTAAGTCGGACGAGATTCAAACCCAGAACTTCCTGGGTGTACGCCCAGGGCGTTTTCGCTACGCAAATCTAGCCAGAGAGAGAGAGAAAAACGGTGGGGTGTACCATGCTGTTTCATTCGAGGGCATTATTTACAGCCTGAACAGTGCTCATTAGCCTGGATGCCTGATATTACTGCAAATAATATTCCAAATTCAGTTGTACCTCACGGAAAGCACACTGTGCCTCAGTAACAAAGACCAATCGGTGAATGGTGTTCAGGGAATATTATATACAGGATATACAGTCTAGATAGCCACTGTATATAATTATCGTAAATTACGTATAATACGTCATTCCTACAACGCCTCGGTCTATCGGTCATCATCAGGTTACATCACAGTTATTTTTAATGCAATGGCTACTATTGCATTACGTTGGCCAATGTCTGCATTTTGTCCTGTAGCTATATGCAGGATGAATTACTGAATAAGATTGCTTAAGGAAATAATCGCTACTTATTGTGAGAATTTACGAAACATAAATACATTGTGCGGGCAACACGCAGAAAAGTTTTTAATGTTGAGATAATCGGTACCGAAACCTAGCCACTGTGCTGTGAGGGGTACACTACTCACGGTCACCTTCCATCGCCTCCAAAATTCCGAGGACTTCAAAGGAAACGTGTTCACATTTTTGAAAATTTCGCAACACACGCGGTCATCACCGGCAGCCTCAGTCCCAATCGCACCTGTGCGTACGTTAATTTCGCGACGTTCAGTGTCAACACAGCAAAGGGGAATTTATTTCTTCATGGCTCTTATTCTTATACGTTAATTTCGCGACGTCAGTGGTCAACACAGCAAAGGGGAATTTATTTCTTCATGGCCCTTATTCTTATATGTTAATTTCGCGACGTTCAGTGGTCAACACAGGAAGGGGAAATTTATTTCTTCATGGCCCTTATTCTTATACGTTAATTTCGCGACGTCAGTGGTCAACACAGCAAAGGGGAATTTATTTCTTCATGGCCCTTATTCTTATATGTTAATTTCGCGACGTTCAGTGGTCAACACAGGAAGGGGAAATTTATTTCTTCATGGCCCTTATTCTTATACGTTAATTTCGCGACGTTTAGTGTCAAGACAGCAAAGTGGAATTTATTTCTTCATAGCCCTTATTCTTATACGTTACTTTCCGACGTTCAGTGTCAACACAGCAAAGAGGAATTTATTTCTTCATGGCCCTTATTCTTAACTTTCTCCCTCACTCGTGGAGCTGAGCCCTTCTTGAGAAGCCGCCAATTGTGCAGCTATTCAAGAACTTCCCAGCATTTTATGGAACCCGAAGGTTCGTTACCGTGTTCACAAGATCCTTCCAGCGGTCCCTATCGAGCCAGATCAATCCAATCCATACATCCCATCCTATCTCTGACATCCATTTTAATATTGTTCACCCACCCAGTTTTCCCAGTGGCCTCCTTCCTTCCGGCTTTCCCACCAATATCCTATATGCATTTCTCCTCTCCCCCATTCGTGCTACATGCTATACCCGTCTCATCCTCCCTGACTTGATCATTCTAATTATACTTGGAGAAGCGTAAAAGTTCCCCGTAGGAGAAAATAATAATAATAATGACGTATACAGTTTTGGATCCTTTTGTCGTTTATTTATGACGCTGTCAGTACGTAAACTGTGAGTGTTGAATGGTACGAGGGTTTATGAACGATAAATTGGAAAGTAGCGGTGATAGCCTAAACGAGCTATTATTCCGGATTTTTCCTGGAGGGACTGAGGAAAACCACGAATTGTCAGTCAGGCTACCCGGTGTCCTGGCCGAGATTCGAACCGAGCACCTCCGGAATACAAGTCAACAGAGATACCGCAACGCAAAACTGTTCGGTGTTTTGAACCCTACTGGCCCATTCTGCATCTAAACCCACCCCAACCGCCTCTTCATTGGTTTTCGAGGATATCTGCTTTATCGTGGGTGTATTCCCAGGCCTGTCTGCATATTTCGAAGGTAGTCTAGCATTCTTTGGAGAGCTGAAAACATAGGAGAGATAAGATGGCATTGCAAATCTTTCGCCAGTTACTGAACACTTTTAGAGGACCTTCCAAATCGAACCAAAATTTCAAACTGTCCACATACCAGAGGCTACGAGTTAGTGCCCAGAAACATCGAAAATCCCAGGGATTGTAAGATTTGAGGCTTTCACGGCGGTGACTATGAAGAAAGCAGTCTTCTGGGATTTGGCACCGTGCATATGTGGTGTTAACCGACGTTTCGGAGGAACGTATCGCCTCCATCTTCAGGGTAGAAGGAAAAATATAAGAAATCCGCAAGCGAAGAGACCGTGAGAACCGGTAAAAGCAGACTGCTTTCTTCATCCCAGGGATTCTTTGTATTGTCTTCATGATTTGTAAGACGAGCTTTCATTTCTAAGGAAATTGTGTTAGAAAGTGAACTGTGAAGAATCGCGTAAGTGCTCCGTTGTCTACTTCAGTAACAAATTCAGCTCAAGTTAGGCTTTGTCTCTTACAGGAGATATTCAATAGGGCGTGGAGTCGAACCTAGATGCTTGTATAAACTGCAGATTGATCTTTTATTAGTACTGGCACTTTTAACAGATCTGCTCTGTAGAAGACTCGACCCTGTAGCGTAGGAGCGAAATCCGTTGCATTCACTGCAGACTAAGACACGAAGTAACAAAGAGCTGTACAGACAAAAACAAACTCCGTGGTTTTAGTCCGCAAGCGAACTATACCGACTGAGCGACCGCCGCTTGTCGGTGACGGTGGTCTAGTGATCAGAGTTCTCGCTACAGGTCCAGACGTCCGCGTTCGATTTCTGGCGCTACCAGATTTTCTGAGAAGTAGTGGGTCTGGAACGGGGTCCTCTCAGCCTCGTGAGGATAAATGAGGCGCTGTTTCAAGGAAATAGCGGCTTCGATCTAGAAAACCGAGATTAACGGCCGTGGGAATTCGATGCGCTGACCACGCGACACTCTCTATCCGCTAAAGTTGGGCTGTACAGACAGCTAGGCAATAAGGTCTCCATAACTTGAACCTTTCACCGGATCATATCAAAAAGGATAACATGGGTGGGGAATACACTTGTACCATACGTACGGTTAAGCAGTCATCCACAGCTCAAGCGAGTGAGATATGAGCTTCTCACAGATTACGTTCTTCTGAGGTGTGACGCTGCATAATTTGACAGACAGGTACCAACGTTTCTGAGGAGCCGCTGCCCGCATGTTTTCCCGAAAACTTGGTACTTCTCTACCAAACTGAACGGCGTCACATCCCAGAAGGCCGTCATTTTGAATGTTGTATCATGGAGAGACAGATAAATTGCACTGACATTTCACACAGTATATTTGCCTGGGAGACTGTTCTGCACATGCGCTAAATTTTCACGGCTAAATAACTGTATATCCTAAGAGCTTTTAACAAACATGCATTATAATTATATAACATTATAACATTATATAAACATTATAACTGCAATAAATAATGCAGTTTAAGCTCTGTGTTGGCTTTTATAACTTGTTAAATGAAATTGTATTTAATCTGCAAACAATAAGAAATAATGACTCTTCCTCTTGGATTCTGAATGGCATTACACTAGTGTTAATGTTAACATTCTGGATTAATATTAAAGATGTTTCTCAACTAGAGGCAACTCAGGATTGCGAAGCATACAGTGAGAACATGACAGGCACATTCGGCAGAAGAAATTACAACTGAGATGGTCACATCCATGGTCTTCAAATCATTTACAAGAAAATAAAATGTAGCTACTGCTACAAGAGGAAGCGACATACTGTTATTCCAGAGATGGCTTGTTTTACATAAACTCAATAATTAATGCTATGATGAACTTTACCCTTATAATAAAAGAGGTTAAGTTGTCCCTGTACTTAATTAAGCACCATGCCATGAAGGCATATGAGGGAGTGGAAGTACAGCTCCATTCTTGACCTCGGCAACAGTTGATGAATGGTCAAATTCACTCTCCGGCCGCTTTAACCCTTGCGAAAGGGCCCCTCCGTACCCATTGAATAGGAGACTGGTTTGGTCTCATAGCCAGTCTGGACGCTGTGGAGGAAAGAAAAAAATCTCTTGGTCCTACCAGGAATCGAACCCCAGCCGTCCAGCCCTTATCCCGTCGCTATACCGGCTCACCTTATAAGAAGCAGACATTAAATTCACATTCTGCTATTCACTGTTAAATATTTATTCAAAATGGCCAGAAAATGGAACTGCACACTCAATGAAAGTAGAGTAAAGTTATCCCTGTGCTTAATTAAGCACAACGCTATGAAGACGGATGGGTAGTGATGATGATGATGATGAAGTAGATGATTCTTAACTTCGGTACTAGATGGAAGTGAGTGGTCAACTTCACACCCTGGCCACTTTAACGTCGGGTACCTATTGGATAGGATGCTGAGTGGGCCCCATAGCTGGTCTGGATGCTACGGGGGAGAGATAAATAGTTTGCCTCTATGGGGAATCGAAACGTCATTCCCGGGACGTCCAGCCCACAGTCTAGTCACTATACTGACTCAGCTCATGGCAGTGACTATGAGGAATGCTATCTCCTGCTTGCCTGGCTTACTTTTCGACCATGAAAATTGAGGCATTAAACTGCGATACTTACAGAAATAATGTAGTGAGCATACGGTATATTTTGTTTTTCGCTACAATTTTTGTTCAAAACGTTTTTCGCCCCGACAGACATTTCCCGAGATAAGCAAAAAGATCACACTGAAATCTTCATGTGAAGTCGTTATTTTCTTTCGATTTTAACCAAAATTAAATCATGACTCTAATCTTTGGTGATACTTCCGAATATCAGACTTAATGGCAATCTGTTTAGCGGTGCTGCAGTTGGTTAATGCGTACAGACATATGGATCGACCAGAATGAAATTAACAGACGCTCCGTGGGGTTGCAAACGCGACCAAAAGTGTATTAAATAGAAGATTATATTTACTGTTATTTTGCTCGCAGCCTGACCATTACGCAGTAAAGGACTCGCAGTTACTATTGCTGACAAGCTCTCCATTGTTACTGCTAACGCTCCCACCATTACTATTGCTAACGGTCGCACCATTGCTACTGCTAATGCTCCCGCCATTACCCTTACTCAGAACAGCAACATTTTACAAGTGACGTGAAGTTTAAACATTACAGCATACATGTTTCCTACAAACTGTAATGCCAAGGTGTACGCGTGACAATATATTTAACTCAAGGTCCTGTGGAAGGACAAAGGTTATCTGAAACACTACAGGCATCAGAGGTTTAAACAAGTTTCCATTTTGTGGCTTCCCAAATAGTTTCTACTGAGCAGTCTCTTAACTTCCATATTTTGGAAAACTGAAAAATTTTGATGAAATTATAAAGGATGATGCCATTTTACAATAGTACCCACACAGATATGAAATGAAACAAACATACATGTATATTATTTTATATTTAGACGTTAATATTAACCCTTCAAAGCAGCCTAGCCTTATATGTTGAAATAGCTGGGTAAATCTGACAGGAGTTGTCCAGTGATTGAGATTAGCTCTTTCTAAGGGGCCCATCTGAGTAGGTGTCTTCCTTCCTCACCTAAAGACAGAAATAGATCCAGTTTCCGAAACGTCATATTTTCTATTTCATAGAATTCTTGACGATGGAAAAAGTCCAGAAACCCAGCAAAAAGAACGTGTGAATGAACACAGAAAAAAACGAAAACAATGCTGCCCAGTCAGTTCACCTTATGCTGTAAGCTGGTGGTCATCTTGAAGATTTTACTATCTTTTTAACAACTTTTTGGTCTAAACCATATTAATTCTGTTTTTTTAAGCTGGTTATTTAATGACACTGTTAGTATTTGGACTATATATCACCACGTGATAGGATGATTAGTTATTGTGGAGCACTTGGTGGAACGAGAACTGGCAAGGGAAACTGAAGTACTGGGAATAAATTTGCTCCAGTGCCACTCTGTCCACCACAAATCCTACATGACCTGACCTGGGATCAAACCTTGGCCGCTGAGGTGGGAAGCCAGTGACCAACTGCCTGAACCATGACATGGCCCTTATGAATTGTGGTATCTCTATAGTCATAATGTGGTCTCCAATGGTTACAGCATAACCTAATATGTTTCTGTTATTTTTATTCTTTGTCATCATTTTTTGGTTACTTGAGAATGTAACCCCCTGCAACATTCAACCTATGGGAAATAGCGATCTGCATTATGAAAATTTGTCTTATAAACTGTCTTCAGGCACATAACTATTATTAAGAGTGGGGACAGCTGGTATGGAAGCTTAGTAATAACTTTCATGCATTCTGTTTAAAATTACAGCTACTTTTAGTATACAAACTCAAATACAATATCAAAAGCCTAACTCTAACTACACAACGTTTCAGCACTGCTGCGGCGCTGCTACTCGTGCCGTTCACGTGGTGACCTAGGCACCTGTAAGGATCCGTTCACACTGAACCTCACTCTAGCAGAACAAGAGAGAGGAGTTGAGGCAGTGCCATGCGCCTCTGGGTGGTGTGGCAAGTTTCTGGAGGGAGGCAATTCGTTTAAGGATGATGGTGAGTACTATCATTAAGTTACGGATAGAAATAAGGACAGACACAATTAAAAATACTCACCTCACATCTCAGAGAATTGTGGCCTCAATATTCACTGCTGCAAAAACATCAAATTTCAGAATTATGGGTAATTCAAAATGAAATACTGAAGGGAATATTGTCATGATTTAAGGGTTGTGACTATTAGACGGGTTTCGGATTGGATAAATTAGATTTATTGACAGCTTATACACAGCACTACTGCTATTTCCACACTTTACAGTTCACTAAGTCTTCTCACTCTTCACAACTCGTATCCTGGCAATGGATTTATAACAGTTTCAATGTCACTGCAGCACACTATGAAGCCTTCTTTGCACAGCCTAATTCCTTTCTTGCTATTATTCTGCCAACTGCCAGCGCCAGGGACTCCTTCAGTTCTGTTCCCAAGCTCATATCCTGGCAGGCTGGCATCTTGAAACTCACCTTTCAGTTGCCATCTCTTCTCAGTCATCTTCACAGAGCTCAACTATCAACTAACTGCTCCCTTGGAACTCCAGAACTCGATTCAATTCTTCTCAACTGAACTCTTCTTTATAGTCACTTTGCATGGACTGAACAGAAAACTCCACCATCACCACCACTATTAGATCCACTACAGGAAACAGGAAAGCAGAAACTGGCAGAAAGGTTATACTTCTGTATATGACAGATATGCTACATGCTGGCAGATGGTGCAGCAAATTTGCAGGCAACATCTGCTGAGGAAGCAAATGTTCTGCATGTAAAGTCACAAAGCATCCTTTGTAAAATGTTGATGTCATGTTACAGAATATGGAATCGCAACTCAGCGCATGTGTCTGCAGCGTGGTCCATCAGACAACGAGGAGAGGTGTGATTATATCACATGGAATCACAAGAAGGTCTACATGTGTTTCTGTCAGGGGGACTTATGCAATACAGCACCATCAGTCAACAAGGTGGCAGTAATGCTTCTCGTCACATTTACGGTACTACAGCACACGGTGATAGGATAGCCCACATTCTCTAACATTTGGAGTTGAAAGTCATTCAATAAGTGAGGAAATATAATAATGTTCATTTGAATTTACAACCTGTTTTCTAAAAATTACATACTGCAAGTTTCAAACTTAACAAATTTACAGTTCCTCATTCCTCTTCCCAGAGAAAGTTTGCCTGTAATCTCATGTTCAGTTTTAGCCTCACAGTTATAACGTAAATGAACTGGCAGATGTTAATCTTTTGATAAATTTGTCAGCATGCATCAATTGTTTGCATGTATGCATACCGGTACTTACTGGCCAAGAAAAGCACTGCTACTTTATAATTTCTATCAGCCACTGTATACAGATATAAAAAAACAAATCATTAATTGATATTACAATTGTTACTTTGCAAACTCTGTCATGTACATCTGACTAATGCTCATCAAGGTTAAGTGATGGGTACATATTACATCAGAGAAATGCAAGTTTCACTATGAGCCATGAGAGGGTCTCATACAGGATCAAATATTTCTATATAATTTTGCTAAGTTTATATTAAATGGGAATGTGTATCAAGAAACTAAAACTTTAAGATTTATTCAAACAAAACAAAGTACAACTCACAACAGTCCAATAGCACAAGTTTCTGGATCAGAGAAACAGCCTGTGTCCTAAGTGCTGAAATTTCACCGTACTTAAATATTTCGTGTAATGGAATATGGAATATAAAAAAAAATCTTTACTGCATGCAATTGAATCGTGATGTTAATGATACAGTCGCTGCATACACACAAACACTGCACGAAATTCAATCAATGACACCACTAACCCAGTCATTATGCACACATAAGCATCGCGTCAAACTGAATCATGACACCACTGACACATTCACTGCACACAGAACATCATACCATGTTCTCCAGATATTCTTCCAACTGAACATTGTATATCCTGTAAACAACTTGTCAACTATATACATGAAACAAACAATTTGTTAAATGTACTTGTACTGATTTATATATAAAAGCTAGGCTGCAAAACGATCATACTTATGTGTATCCTTTACATCTGACATTCCTGATTCTCAACTTACGTGAAGGAAACCGGTGTTCATGTGTAGGAATGAGAGTAGAACATGGCAATAGCAGGATCCTCAGTTTCACAAGTGACCAGCACATCACGGAACTTGTCCAGCAACTGAAGGAGCTGGGAACGTCGAATATTTTCCAGGTACATGATCTCCTCCAGATGGTGATAACCCCGCAGATAGCCTTGGTGACAGAGTCGTGCCAAGAGATGGAGGTCCTCTGGATTGGCTGCAGCAGGTATCTTGAGTATTGCAGTTCGCTCTTCATCGCTGAAATCAGCCAGAAGTTCCTCACGAACCAGACTTGATTTCTCCTCTTCCAGAGCACTCACAAAACTGACCTAGAAGTACGACAGTTTATCTAACAATGCTTCCTTAATTGAAGAGGTTTTATATCGTCAAACTGAAGAACGACTGAACACTGAATCCCAAACAACGTGGAAGGAGATCTCAATTCCTGTGACAATAGGACCTGAACATAAAGCATGTATTACTACCAGCATACTGCTATGTTAAATAATGTTATATCTAAAAGCAATTTTATGTTGTTGGATTCCAGTGTTTTCCCCTTGGGTCTTCATCCTCTTTGAACGCAAGGGAGGGGAAGAAGGGGAAAAGGAATGGCTATAGGATGAACATGTAGAAGGGCCTGAAAAGGAACACTTAGAAAGGAGGGAAGAAGATAAAGGTAGAAAGGAGTTAAAGAAAAGGAAGAAAGGGGTGAGGGATGAAAATGATTTTCCCTGAGGGACTCCATATTCCTAAAAGCCACCGTATGTATGTCCAAGGGGATCCCCTTTACAAGCGCTAAAAGGCAACCAGCAACTTATATGAGCATCTGTCATTGTAGTTTCACTACTGTGCTGGCATATAAAACTCAATGTAAGAAATAAACATAAACAGTAACATTCTAGTAGATTNTCGTATGTATGTCCAAGGGGATCATCTTTACAAGCGCTAAAAGGCAACAAGCAACTTATATGAGCATCTGTCATTGTAGTTTCACTACTGTGCTGGCATATAAAACTCAGTGTTAGAAATAAACATTATCAGGTGAGTGGGTGGGTACATTAGAAAAGTGTAACCTCAGCACTGNATGTAAGAAATAAACATAAACAGTAACATTCTAGTAGATTCTAAAGGGTTCTGACAATGGTGTGTAACACTCAGGATTATTGTGTTCTTGGATTCTGTCCATCATGTAGTATACTACAAACATGTTTCAGAAAGTAAATCAGTTTCATCCTCAGGTGAGTGGGTGGGTACATTAGAAAAGTGTAACCTCAGCACTGGATGTCTGGCGAGGAGGAGTATTTTTTCCCACCTTGAATGGAAGAGAAAAACTTATATCTTATGGCTCCTGAATACCCCACCCTGTACAAGCATCTCTGCATCAGACACTTTCATAGCACCAGGAGTCTATGTAATACTCAGTGACAACTCATCAAAATTTTAATCTTAAGTACATTAAGGACATGTAGGAAGAATCTATAAGANGCCCCACCCTGTACAAGCATCTCTGCATCACGATCTGACAAGACACATTTATCAGACACTTTCATAGCACCAGGAGTCTATGTAATACTCGGTGACAACTCATCAAAATTTTAATCTTAAGTACATTAAGGACATGTAGGAAGAATCTATAAGAACACAATAACCCATAAAGAAGAAATAACATTGAACTACAGCCATGGTGACTGTCCAGCCTTAGGCCGCGCCATAGCTCAAGCGGTTAGTTGCTGGCTTCCTACCGCGGTGACCCAGGTTCGATCCCAGGTCTGGTCAAGTGGGATTTGTGGTGGACAAAATGGCACTAGGGCAGGCTTTCTCAGAGTACTTCAGTTTCCCCTGCCAATCTTCATTCCACCAATTGCTCCACAATCACCCTCACCTATCATCTAGGGCTGGTACAATAGGCCAGAAGTGGCCGCAGTAGAAGGGACTTAGTCCCACCCCACTAGCAAAAGAAAGAAAAAAAAAACTGTCCAGCCTTCATCAAGATCACAAGTACTGACCTCATACGAACCAGTACTTCAGATAAACATTTAGCAAATAACTCAATTCAGGAGCAGAATCCTTCAGAAGCTGATAGTTGCTATAGAAATTATGTGCCTTGTATGGAACCAAAAGGTTAATTATCATGTTCACAAAAGCATACCTTATCCTCTGCTATTTGAATCCGGTCCACATCAGCAAACCCTATTTATTTAAGATCCGCTTTAATATTATCCTTCCATCTAAGCCTAAGTACATTCCCTCTGAGTTTTCTGATAATAAAAAATTACATTTTCTATGGCTCTCATACATTGTACACTCCCCACCTATCTCATCCTCCTTGATTTGATCATTTAAATAATATTTGGTGAAATGAAGCTCCTTGTTACACAGCTTTCTCTGGCCCCCCATTACTCTCTCTGTCTGAGGTCTAAATAGTCTCTTAAGCACCCTGTTTCATTGCCAATTCCATAAAAATTGAAAGATGAAATTCTTCCTGTTCATTAAGCCTGTGCTTATGTATGTGGCTCAGTCCAGAACCTTTTGTCTTCTCATCTGCTCTCTAAAAACATAAAAATTAGAATATACAAAACTATAATTTTGCCTGTGGTTCTCTATGGGTGTGAAACTTGGTCTCTGACATTAAGGGAGGTCACCAGACTGAGGGTGTTTGAGAACAGAGTGCTGAGGAGAATATTTGAATTGAAGAGAGATGAAGTGACAGGAGGCTGGAGAAAACTGCATAATGAGGAGCTTCATAACTTGTACTCTTCTCCTAGTATAATTAGAATGATGAAGTCAAGGAGGTTGAGGTGGGCAAGGCATGTATCAAGAATGGGGGGGAAGAGGAATGCATATAGGATATTGATGGGAAAGCCAGAAGGAAAGACACCACTAGGAAGATCAAGATGTAGGTGGATGGACAATATTAAAATGAATCTTAGAGCGATAAGATGGGATGGTATGGAATGGATTGATCTGGCTCAGGATAGGGACCAGTAGAGGGCTCTTGCGAACACGATAATGAACCTTTAGGTTCCATAAAATTCTGCGAAGTTCTTGAGTGGCTGCACAATTGGTGACTTCGCTAGAAGGCCTCAGCTTCATGAGCGAGTGACTGTTACATGATAATGTTGATGTTAGTACCTCAGTGTCTGCTGAGACCAATGAACTGCTTGTCTGAATGGGCAACCCATTCAACTTGCTGCCAGGCGTGACAAGAACATCGTCACTGATGTTGGAGCTGAGGTCACTTTCACTAGGTGCCCGTCCACCCATGAACCCACCTACACTGACACTAAACTGCTCATCTGGTGTGCTCTGGTAGCTCCCATCTCGAGTTGAGCTTTGATGCATACTATGACTCTGCTGCCGCACCAGCCTCTCCTGTAACACTGCTCACTGATGGATACACAGCGTCTGTGGAATTCAACTACAGCACTGATCCATTAATGTGTTCACACTATTAACAGTTATTTAGATGATAAATTAAGCAGTTATTAGAGCATGTTACATCGCACATGAGCGCTTTCTCGCTCTCTCTCTCTCTCTCACATACACACACACACATGATGACCAATTTGGTCGAAACTTGTAAAAACTTTCAAATTGACTAGTTTCTAACAACTTTTAATAAATTGTTGCACATAAGACTCTGGAACTAATTAACACGAAGTGAAAAAGTGCAACATGATGATACAATACATTATTATTGTTCATTCAATTTGTGACCCCCTATGTTTGGGGTCGAAGCATCAGCCTCTTTAACAATATGAGTTTCTGAGATGTTTGTCATTCACTTCTGCACTTACTATGTACATGGGGCAATCCAAAAGTTTCCGAAATTTGAATTTTGCGCACGAATGGTTATGAGTACATCGAAATACCGCTGCGTGTCTCCTCACACATCCTACTTGAATCAGTGTGGCAAGCGGCGTCAAGTTGAGTGGTTGGGTTTATTGTTGGTGAACGTATTTCCATTGTTGTGTTTCCATGAGTTTGCGGTTTTGCAATGGCTGACCTGAGAGAGCAGCGTGTCTGTATAAAGTTTTGTTTCAAACTTGGGAAAACCGCTGCAGAAATGCACCAAATGTTGAAGCAAGCTTTTGGTGAAAACAGTTTAGGCCAGACACAAACTTACAACTGGTATAA